GGGTTGGGAGTGTGGGTTAGTATGGGTTGGGAGTGTGTGGGTTGGGAGTGTGGGTTGGGAGTGTGGGTTGGAAGTGTGGGTATTTAACTTCTTTTTTTTTCGTCTTCTTTTTTTTTAGGTCTATCTATTCTCTGTCAAGGTTTTCTCTTTATTAGGCCTTCTCTTAGGTCGTTTTTCTATAGGTATGTGAGTTGGGAGTATGGGTTATGAGTGTGGGGTTTGTGTTTTGTGTTTTAACTTCTTTTTTTTTCGTCTTTTTTTTTTTAGGTCTATCTCTCTGTTAAGGTTTTCTCTTTATTATGTTTTCTCTTAGATCCCTTTTCTTTACGCTTTCATTTAGGTGTGTGGGTTGAGAGTGTTGGGAGTGTGTGTGCGGGTTGGGAGTGTTGGGAGTGTGTGTGTGGGTTGGGAGTGTTGGGAGTGTGTGTGTGGGTTGGGAGTGTGGGTTTGTGCGTGGGTTAGGAGTGTGGATTTGTGCGTGAGTTGGGAGTGTGCGTGGGTTTGTGTGTGGGTTTGGAGTGTGGGTTTGGTGTGGGTTGGAAGCGTGGATTGGGAGTGTGGGTTTGTGTGTGAGAGTGGTGGTGTTTTAACTTCTTTTTTTTTCGTCGTCTTTTTTTTAGGTCTATCTTCTCTCTGTCTAATTGCGATGTACGCTTTCGTTGTTGCTATAATTGAAACTCCAGTACCATTAAAAAACGCCAGGAATCAAGTACAAATTCGCGTTACTTAGAGAAAATATGGCCATCTAAGACTAAATGTAAGGATAAATTAGATGTAACGAACAACAAGCACGATTCTATTTAAAAGCGACTAATTGGGATCTAAATGTACTTAGCTGTTTACAAATTATTTAATTAAATTTCTTTTGTTCATTTTCTGAGTCGCGTTTTTTTTATTTAATAGGTGACTGTAGTTAACTATTACGATGGTACTAATGCAATTGAGGAACCTAAACAGGTAACTATATTAAAAGTGCAAATGTACAACTTATTGCAATTAATTCGTTCCGGTGACATTTTTTGTGAAATTAACGATGTTAGGTAAGATAGTAACTTATCCTAGTGTATATGGATGTTGTACACAATTACTTATCATAATAATAAATGTATACCCAATGAGGATTTTATCCTTAAATTTTGGTAATGGTTTATCAAAAACTTTAATAAATCATGAATTAAATAAAAAAAAGTTCATTTCTTTGAATATTGCGATATTTAATGGCAAGAATATTTTTTTTTTGCTAATCAAGGGAAATTCGAAAATTGTGAGTACTTTGCTTATGTTTTTAGTAGAGTATCATTTATTAT